GAGATCATGCTATCACTAACAAAACCTCAGTTAATATCTAATTTTGCCTGGAATGTGTGGCATTCTAGGACTAAGATGAAATTCCTGGGTTTGAGTGTTGTTTAGTGAATGTCAGCAGTACTGGAAGTAGATTTGATTAAAGCTTCCTTCCTGGATCAGATACCAAAGGCTCTGGAATAATTTTTCATGGTGGCATTACTTTGAAGACTTGTTATTTTAGATAATTAGCTTTGGTGCAGATGTTGCATGTTCCCATGATGATTAGCATTCGAGTTCTTTCCTGAGGGAATGAGGGGGCTGCCTGTGAGTGCTGAAATCCTGTGTAGGGGTGCACATCCCTAGGGAGGGAGCCAGATGTGTGTGCACACCTGTCCCAGAGCTCTTCTCACACACACACTTCTGCAGCTCAGGCTGAGCCACTTTGGAGAATTCAAAGCAAACATTTACATTCCGAGGCTCCTCTGTATTTATGCTGGGCTTCCGGCTCCACTGTCAATATTTGGGAAGCTACTCTTGGTCAGTTCCTGTTGACTTTTACTGAAAAGCAGCTAGTGAAGCAGTAAATATTTTTGTGCATGTGATAATACAGCTGGTCAGGGCAGAGGAATCTCTGAGGAACAGATCTTGTGATTTGGGGCACAGCCTTGTGTTTTGTTGCTTGTTAGCCACAGCTTCTGGTTGCAACAGCAGGTCCTAAAAGACTGCTCTTTGCAATGTCAGGCTCCCAGGGAAGACAGACTTTTGCCAGGGAAGAGCTGTCAGGGGTGTGCTAGGCAAACTACAGCTAGGAAATCAGAGGTGCAGAACAGCAAGGCTGGACAGGGAGCCCTGGGAGCAGTCCCAGCTCCAGGACTGTGCTGGGAGAAGCACTCCCAGGACTAATGGGCTGGGATGAGCTGTGCCTTTTGGGGTTGAACCCTGCCAGCCAGGGATGTAACAGCCTGTGGGGGAAAGAACTGCAGGTCCAGCACAAATCTCTCTCCAGTGGTGGCTGGAGATGGGGTGTAGCTGCTTTCCCAGAAACTTCAGGTTCCACAAGGGTGTAACCAGGAGCCTGTGGTGAACTCCAGGGAACCAGACTGTACTAAACAGCGCCAGGAAGGAATGCTGAAGCCTGAAACACTGTAAATGACACTCTGGTGACCCAGGGGAATGCTCTGATGGGTGTTCTTTGTTGCCCTGTGCCCTGCCCTGCAGCGAGAACCCTCTGCCGACTGTGGAGATCGCAATTCGCAACACGGGGGACGCTGACCAGTGGTGCCCTCTCCTGGAAACCCTCACAGACGCTGAGATGGAGAAGAAGATCAGAGACCAGGACAGAAACACAAGGTACTGCCACTACTTTGGACAGTTCTCTTGGCCTGTCCCTTGGCAGAAGTTCCAAGCTTTGATGTTTATCTTTCCCTACTGAGAGCCAACTGGCAGGATGTCAGCCTTGCTCACAACAGAAACTTTAGCTTCAGGGTATTCAGCTGCTGTCACCTTCCTCCACAAACATCCAAATGTCTACTTTACCATCTCCTCTTGCAGCAGTTTCTTTTTCTTTTTTTTAAACCCATTTTTTTCTTTGTCTTGGGCTTGTCCAGGGGAGTTGCTTGTATAGGAAGGCATGAATCAAACATATTGGAGTTTTGTACACTGTCATGCTCCCTAGAATCCTGCCACCAAAAGCTTCCTTTCATGTAAAGTTCAGTTTGATGTAGCAATGGGCAGGCTCCCAGCTCTAGCCTCACTGATGCCAAGCTGTTTGCCAGCACAGGGAACACTGTGTGGTTCCAGGAGAAGCTCTGCCCACCAGAGACCTGCTAAGTGGTGTTTGACAAGCAGTGGAGAGCTTGCACCTTCTTGATGAAATTCTTCCTGGCAGATATAAATGAATGAATGATATTTCTCCAAATGATACATTGTGGAAACAGTAAAGATACTGGCTCAGCTGTTTCCCAGGATGTTTTTTGGCAGCTGATTAACAGTAGCACAATCATTTTGTATATCAGCAATGGCTACCTGAAGAGTTTACAGTAGCAATTGGTTCAATCCAAGTTAATGTGCAAAAGTGCCCTAACAGCTGTTAGTGAAAATAGTGTCTTTGCCTTATTAACAGGGGCCCTCTCAGGTGTCTGAGGAGTTCTGTCTTGGAATAAACCTGTCTACAAACTTGCCAAAGCTGTGGCAGCCTCCCCAAAAGGATTGGTTTTGGTCAGACCTCCTGTGACTGTAACATGCACTTACTGCATCTCTCTCTCTCTCCCTTAGGCGCATGAGACGTTTGGCCAATACTGCTCCAGCCTGGTAACCTTCCTGTTGTGACACTGGTGCTCTTCCTACAGACTTTATCCCTATTCCTCTCCCCAAATGGATCTAGAATTGGCAGGGGTCTTTCTGTCTCTGAAGGGGACACACATTCCACTTGCCACGAGTTCCCAGTACTGCTGACTTCTGCCCCCACCCCCTCCAGCCCAATGCCACGTACCAAGAGCGCTGTGTGGGCAGCGTGACCCAGCTGACACCTGTGGCAGGTGTTGGAGCCCTTATATACCTTATAATGTGTGGACAGTGTAAAGATTCTTTTGTATAGGTGCAATGGGCACTATTAGGACAACTTTTTAAATAAAAGGAATGCATACAACTTAGGATGAGTTCAGTAAGTCTGAGTGAACAGTGAATCTCACCATGTTCTGGTAACTGAGCAGTCCCAGGGAATAATATTGATGCTTTTGGGTATAGTGCTGAACACTCACATGCATTCAGTTTTCCTGGGTGCTTTGCTTCAACAGGTAAAACACCCAAAATCTTTTGGTGCAGGACAAAGTGAGAAAGAGATGTAGAACTAGAAGCAGCAAACAATTCTCTAAGGCTTGGTCTGTTACCAGACTTGGCAGAGTCTGTAATGAACTCAGGGATGTGTTCGCCTGGTTTACACAACAAGGTAGAGCAATTTAACTGAAATCACAGACTTAAGAGTAATTTCTGTCACATGCCAGCCTGGTGTGTGGTGAACCCTGTATTTTGTGAAGACTGCATCTGGAAAACAGCACATTCTCTGCACTGGTACAGCAAGTAAAGCCTCCAGTCCCTGAGACTGAAACCTCTCTGCAGCCAGTGCCTTTGGTGTGGTCACTGGCAGCACACAACACTGCCAGCTGCAGTGCACAGAGCACTCAAAGCAAAGTGGGTGTCGTGAATGCCCTTAGCACTGCAGTGTCAGGACTTTGCAATCTGAGAAACAGCCTGTCCTTTTCTAGGGAGTTTAAAAACCCAAATCCATTGAAGTGAGATTTAAAGAAAAATCCAAGCTTGCTTATAAACTAATTAGAATCTATCTTGCTGTTGAGGTACCCCATCCCTTTGATGGAGTTCCTGCCAGAACTGATGAGTGTTGCAAGCAAGGCAGATTTTGCTGGCACCCTGACAGTTATGTTCAGGCCTTTGTGATAAAGCCATAGGTTTTATGATCCTTGCTGATCCACCCACCCTGCTAACACAGTCAAAAAAACACTTTCTGGCCTTAATTTATCATGTTTAGACTTGAGCAATAACAGAGACAGTTCTGATTCCTGGGTGGGAGGGAACTTTTTCCAGATGTTAGTCTGCAGAAACTGAAAACTTGCAATTTAGTAATAATATTATTATTCAGTCTTATCCTAGGCTCCTCTGCCAGAGTGGTACTCCATGCATTAGTTCATATTAGAGAGGTTGAAAGGTTATTTGAGCAAGTAAGGCTCAAAACCTGGGATTGCTGCTGCATCTTAGCCTCCCATCCCATGTTAAATGTGTTTTGGCTCATGGACAAAAACTCCAAACCTTCTTGAGAACACTCCAGCTTTCCTTTGTTACATGACCAGGGTCTTCTGCCAGCAGCCTCTTCAGGGAATTCAACTAAAATACATGTGAAACTGCTGAAACCTTAAATTAGCATCTGTGGTGCAGTTTTTCAAATCGCTGCAAAGTTTGTGATTACTCAAGTTCACAATGAGGTGCAGGCACACAAGGACTGCCTCAAGGCCAGAGAGGCTGTGCCAATTGCCCCTCAAAGCAGCCAGGGACGAAGCAGGACAGTCGAGGGACCAAGTTCAGAAAGATGGGAACTTCAGGCAGCTTTCTTTTAGCATTAGGACTGTTGGGGAGCAGCTTTCTTGCCCTACAATCACACTTCTTTGTGTTAATCTGGTACCCTACCTAAAAGCCTAGCCCAACTTTGATATTTCAAAGCCCCAGCTCAGGCAATTTAAAACAGAACATCTGCAGATTTCACTGACTCTGCTTAGCCCTTAGTACCACTGTGTCTCGTAGAACAAATTATCACTTCTACAGGCCTTTCTTTGTAGAGGGAAGATTAAGTGCAGCAGAAGAGCAGGGCTGATTTTTGATAAAGTGTTTCATTGAAAGACCCCAGGGAAGAGGGAATTGGTGGTGGTGGGGTTGTGTGTGTGCTTAATCAGATGCTGGTTACACACAGTTCATAGTTTGGTGGTGGTTTGTGAGTTTGAGCTGCCAGCACTGTTCTGAGTGAGCTGTTGTAAGATACAAGGTGTGCAGACTTGAAGGCTTTGGGGTGAGGTACAAGCACAGTGTGTTCTGTATTAGCAAGAATGATCAGATCCATTTCATACAGGTGGCAGGGTAGGGGTGAGCTTGTTTAGTTTTCCCCTGAAACTCAGATCTTTAAGTTTCAGAACTAAAAGATTCAACAAGAGTGGAATTACACTGCAGGTGCAGACAGTCTTTATTACCAGTGTCAGGCTCTGTCAGGCTTCCAGCCACTGCCTGGATCCAGTGTCCAGCCCAGTCCCTTGGTCTTTTCCCAGGCACCCCTTTATCCAATTAGACACCCCCCACACTCCTCGTGCTCTGCAGCCCTGCTGAGAGAAGAGGGAAAGGACATCTTCCAGCTAGCCTGAACTTTGCCTTGCCCACCAGGAAAGAAAATCCCCAACCTGGCATTTTTGAGCAAATTCCTGATGAATTGCTGCCTCTGCCCCTGGCAGAAATGGACACAGAACTGAAAAATAAAGACTTTAATGTAAAGACTCTTTGGAAACAACCACCAGAAAAGGAGTGGGGGACATAAAGGAAAGAAAGAGGCTGAGCTGCATTCTACCATGGTACAGAACTACTTCATTGAAAGCCCACAAAGAGGTCTCACAACAGTGAGGGCCAGGTGCATTAGTCTTTGTACAGAGGGCAAGAGTGACCTGGCACACAGGAGGAGAAGGAGGAACTGGTTTCACACCCCATTTGATACTTATTCCACACCAGGTAACTGAGGAGCCGTCACAGCTTCAGCCCCTGTCCCTAGAACACCTCTGTAAGCATTCGGTTCTCATGTGCAAAGCTCCGTGGATCCACTTTGTACAAGGGGAAGATGGGTTACCCACACAAACAGCGACACACTACACATCGGAATGGCAACTGGTGTTATTCCAGTAGGATCTCTGGGCCACAGCAAAAGTCCAGCCAGAAGAGAGGAATCTGGCCACGTGAAGAAGTCCCCCATGTTACTGTGGGTGCTGCTGCTCATTCTGGTCGTGGTCTCTAGGCTGGTGTTCTGGACGATCCTCAGGGAGAGGGTTGTAATTGGGATCCTCTTCAGGTGTGTCAAAAACCATCTTCCTGGCAAGGGACACACCCATGCCAGCAGGCAGGGAGGTTAGGAAACTGAGCTGAGGATGTCAAACCCCCAGTCCTCCTAGGAACACCCTGACACCTTGGCTGTCAGCCACAGCCACTGGCCCACTGCACCATCACCATCCTTTGCTCAGCTCAACACACAGCGGTAACAGTACCTCCTTCCTTGATCACTAGGTCAGATTTGATCATCAGTGCACAAAGCAGAACATATTCTGCTTTCTTAAACTACAAAAATACATCAGAAAAAATCCTGCCTCCATCTAGCATTTCCACAAGCAGTAAGCAGACTCTAGTTCTATTAGCAAAGCTGCAGGGTAGCAGCTGCTGTATGGGCCCTGCACACATGTGTAGAACGTGCAAATAATGCAGCAAGGGCATGAGCTGTGGAGCTGAGGTGCTGCCAGTTCACTTCCATAGCAAACTGTGACCCAACTGCCTCTAATGGTCACAGTTTGCTATAGAAGTGATCAGGTTGAGAAAGCCCACAAAGAATCCATTTTACTTACAGAAAGCTAGGGGTTAACAGCAACTTCTTTCCTCCAGGCTGATTGGGGAAAACATCTTCCAGGAAATAATAGATATGACCCACTGCAATCCCTGGGGAGAGATGCCACCAAGGTCAGGCATGGCTGTGACTCCTTTGCCAGCTGAACCAGATCTGCTGGGCAAAACCCCTCAGCTGTGTGCCCACATCCAGCTCCCTCCAGAGCCAGGGAAGTTTTCTCGCTGTGACCAGCACACAGGGAGTCCATTAGCCTGAGGGCAGCATCGCACACCCAGGAGACCAGACACAGCAGAGTGTCAGAGCTCACCAAACCCAGCTTCTGCCCCTGGGACAGACACACCAAAAAGCAGGTCACAAGGAAAAGCCCAGGCCCAAGCCCAGCCCATCTAGAAGCCCAGCCAGCTCACTTTAGGAAACCAAAACATCTCAGGTCAGGTGGAAGGAAGGGGAGGTACCAATGTCCCAGTAGCACCTATGAGGACTGAGTGTTGTGGCTGCAAGGTGTCCTTGTTCCCATCACCCACCAGCTTTGACTTACCCAGCAAATCGATGATGATGGAGTTGCCCAGGAGCAGAGAGAATCCCATCAGGACCCAGGGCAGGAAGGGGGCTTGGAAGTTAAGAAGCCCAAAAAAGTTCATGCGGATGTAAGGGTTCCTGCGACTCCATACATACACCAGCATGATGGTGAAAGCCTGGCCCAGGAAAAACAGGCTGGCAAAGAGTCCAAACAGCTGGGAACTACCGAGTCAAGGAAGAACCCACCCACCCTGTGCACCACCTCCAGGCAGCACAGGGTGCTTTGGGACAGGAAACCCAAACTAGAGGCAGCTGATGAGTGCTCTGAGACACTGTCCATGTCACCAAGCCTTTCCTGGCTGAGATATACTGACCACCACTGTCCCCACACACATCTCCCTCCGTGCCACCCCAGAACAAGACACTCTGGAGTACATATGCAGGTTGCTCACTCCTTAAGCTGATGTCTACAACCACCAGAGAGCTCTATAATCACCTTTGCAAAATGAACATCAAAATGACCTTCAAAGAATGGCTTTCACAGTCTTACTGTACTTGGGACAGTGACATATCCTAACAACTAGCTCACATCCAGCATCTGCCTTCTACAGAAGTTCAGCAGTGAGATGGCTCTTGGAATTCACAGTCCTCTTCTTCAGAGCACAAGGAGACAGAGAGAGACAAAAATTTCCCCTGCCCTTGTTGTAGTTGGACTCCAAATGCACCTCTGGCCAAGCACGTGGCTGCTGCAGCCACCTGGATGCTAATGGCCCACAGTATCATGCAGAGCTCTGTAGGGACAGCAGTGTTCTGACCCATCTGCATAAGACAGCAGAAGATATTCAGAGAAGGTTTATGCTTGGGAGTGAAATAAATTTCACCATCAGATTACCGTGTTGTGAAAAGAACTCGAGCTGTGAGATGGTACCTGCAGTTACTGACAGGCTGCAAGCCCTCAGCTCTTGCTGCCTGAGGTGCCAGGGGTATGTGGGAATCCACTCCTTGTTCTCATGGCTCCACATTCTTGCCTTTGTCCTGAGCCAGCCTCACGCAATCACAGCCACACTGCACTCACCAGAGCTCAGCCAGCAGCCCTGTCACAGCTGGACAGGTTCCTGCAGCAGAACACGTGGCCTCCTCTCAGGCTGAGCTTCCCGAGCACTCCGCCACGTGTCCTCTTCAGGGATGAGGCAGCCCAGCCCCTCGCCAGGGGCATCAGCACTTCTGCAGAGAGCAGCACAATCACAGGCAGCTCTTCTCTCCTCTCAGCACACTGGATGAGCCAAGGGGGGCCAAAGATGAGGAGCACAAGCTGTGCCACGCAGCCAGAGCTGCAGCACAGGCTCAGCTGAGCTCTCCCAGGTCACAGGGAGTGAGCCTGGCAGCTCTGGGGCACAAGGAAGGCTCACAAACAGCTGTGCTGGGACCTGCTCCACAGCACTACAGGGACACAGAGGTGGCAGACAAGCCCTGCACTATCCACAGCATCTCAGGAGACACCAACGAGTCTCAACCAACTCAAAAGGATACTGTCATGAGAAACCCTCCAAAGAGGAACATGAAGACAAAGTCAGCCGTCCTTCCACGGAAGGAGCCTTCTTCTAGCATGCGGCAGTACCTGTACCTGAGAGCAGGAGAGAAGGGAGGGGTTGCAGTAAAGGAAATTAACAGCTGGCCACCCTGTGCCCCACAGCAGGACTTCCCAGGAGACAAACTGCTGCAAGGAAGCTCAGCCAGGTGTGCAAACCCAGAGAAGAACAGTGCAAACTTCACCTCACACCACTGACCCCAAAGAAAGAGGCACCTGCTGTGCTTCAGCCAGAGCTCACCCCAGGAATGGGCATTGCTCTCCAGCAAGAGCCACAGCAGCAGCTCTGCCAACTTCTTTTGGCAGGGGCTGCCCTGCAGCAAGCACAGATGGAGGGGCACAGCTTCAATTCAAAAGAGCCAAGGAAGAACCCACAGCCCTAGAGTGCTGCCAAGGCAAGCCGTGCTGGGGAGGATGATGGATGTGGGGCATTACATCTAAGCCAAAATGGGAGCAAAGAACTTCACTGAGACCAAAGGATACAGAAATATCATGTTGAAAAAGAAACTGAATCCCAGAGGCCCAAAAAAGAGGAAGTTGGTGATCAGCCTCCATATCTGAAAGAGAAGAGAGAGGAGAGAGAAAAGGAGGTGGCCAGAGGTGTCTCCTCATCACGGCTAGAGCAGCACTGTCCACAGGGAGTGCTCAGTCATGCACGGGTCCCTTCAGAACTGCCCCAGGACAGCTGCTCCACCCTCTCCTGGGACCTCCTCACACCATGCTCTGATGCACCGGAGCATCTCACCTTTCCAGGTACGGAAAAGAAGATTTCTCTACTTTTCTGGAGAGGACAAACAGCCACAATTCAGCAGCCAGAGCCATAAAATCAATTACTCTCCACAATAAAGCCCTCTCCAAGCAGCCCAACAGCAGCTGCCACACACGGTGTAAGAGAGAAGGAAGGGTTTTGACTCAAGGAGAAGCCAAGATGGTGCGTGGCAGGGAGAGGCTGCAGGGAGCTGTCTGCAGGCAGTGCCCGTGCCGGGGAAGGCTGGAGCCGTGGGGAAGGAGCCCCTGGGGATGACACAGCACCGCCCGGGCAGCGCTGTACGGCCACCCCCGCTGCGGAGAGGCACAGGGGGCCCAAACCCGCGCAAGGCCTCACCTGGAACTTCCTGAAGATGAGGTCGGGGTTGAAGTAGAGCTGGAAGGGGGTGATGAACTCCAGCTGCTGTTGGGAGACAGGCAGAGCGGCTGCCATCACCCGCCGCCCTCGGCC